GTGGCCATCTGCACGTGGACCTGCACCCCGGAAACGGGACCCCAAAAGTTACTGAGCCCCGAGACCCCCGACCCAAACCCCATCACCCCCTGAGCCCCTCAAACCCCATCACCCCCTGAATCCCAACACAAACCCCATCACCCCCTGAGCCCCCCAAACCCAACCACCCCCTGAATCCCAACCCAAACCCCATCACCCCCTGAACACCCCAAACCCGACCACCCCCCGCCCCGGGGCTCACGGGCACCGTCAGTGTGGACCTGCCCCCCAAAAACCAGGGGAACCTCAAATCCTACTGACTCCTGAGCCACCTGTGTGCCCCCAAAAATACCCAGGGACCCCCCCAGATACCCCTCGGGGATCCCCAAACGCCCTCCTCGCCCTCTCAGCCAACTGAGCAGCCCCGAAGAAGATGGGCCCGAAGGTGAGCACAGATGATGTGTGTGCCCCCAGGGACCCCAAATACCCCCCAGGGATCCCCAAATGCCCCCCAGGGATCCCAAACACACCCCCAGGGACCCCAAACACACATCCAAGGACCCCCAAATAACCCCAGGGACCCCAAACACCCCCCCAGAGACCCCAAACGCCCTCTGAGCTCACCCTGTCAGCGGACTGGGCGGCCCCGAAGAAGATGGGCCCGAAGGCGAGCCACACCACGCAGGTTGTGTACATGGCGAAGCCGATGGGCTTGGCCTCGTTGAAGGTCTCGGGGACGCCGCGGGCCTTGACGGCGTAGACGGTGCAGGTGAGCATGAGCAGCAGGGCGTAGGCCAGGCAGGCCAGCGTGGCCCCCTCGGCCATGTCGCAGCGCAGGACCCCCCGCGCCGCCTCGGGGTCGGGGGTCCGGCCCATCTCGTAGTCGATGAGGGCGTGGGGCGGCCGCACCAGCAGCCACGTGGCCGCGGCCACCAGCTGGAGGCCGCTGAGGGTGAAGGTGATCACCAGCTGGGACGTGGGGCTGATGAACCGCGGCGGCGTCACCGAGCGCTTACCTGGGGGGGACGCGGGGTCAGGGGGCACCCGGGACACCCGGGCACCCGCCTGGGGTGAGGTGTGGTGGGTCAGTGTAGGTGGGACCCCACCCCACATCCCTCAGCCTCATCTCCGGGGTCCCTTCCCAGCCCCCCGCGTGTCCCCAGGTGTCCCCTGGGCACCCCCAGAACTCTGGGACCCCCCAACTCCCCTCTCGGTGACACCGTGGCCGTGGCCGGTCTGGGTGAGGAGCACGGGGGTGGGGACACCCCGTCCCACGTCCCTCAGCTCCTGCCCCTCACGGGGGTGAGGACACCCCGTCCCACATCCCTCAGCTCCTGCCCCTCACCCGGCCCCCCCCTCGTGCCCTCACCCTGCTCGAAGATGCGGTAGATGCGGTTGGTCTTGGTGAGCAGGGCGGCGTAGGTGAGGCTCATGCCCAGCCCCAGGAAGAGGCGGCGCAGGGCGCAGACGCCCACGCCGGGCTCGGCCACCATGAGGAAGGTGATGGCGTAGACCAGGGCGATGCCGGCCAGCAGGACGTAGCTGAGCTCGCGGCCCGACGCCTTCACGATGGGCGTGTCGTGGTGGCGCACGAAGGTGGCCAGCACGAAGGCCGTGGCCATGAGCCCCAGCGTGGCCAGGGCCACCGGCACGGCGGCGCAGGGGTCTCCCCAGCTGAGGCGCAGCACGGGCGTGGGCCGGCAGGCCGTGCGGTCGGGGGTGGGCCGCAGGTGGGAGGCGCAGGGCAGGCAGGTGAGGGGGTCGGCGCGGTACTGGTACCCCCCGCACAGCTCGCAGTGCCAGCAGCACGGAACCCCCTTCACCGGCTTCTTGCGCTCGCCGGGGCCGCAGGGCAGGCTGCACACCGACGGAGGGGGGGACGTCGAGTTGGACCCCCACGCCATGGCCTCCTCCTGGGGGGGG